CTATTTTAAATATTTCAAAAAGCTTAAAATTATACAGTTCCCTACAGTAGGAAGATACAAGAGAACTAACCCATACTTGCTCTTGTTGAAGGTACACCTTCTTCTACCCAGGACAGGAGGAAGTGGTGTGCAGTAGTTAAACAGACCTGTGTGTGATAGTGGCTTTTGACACGTCACTTCTCCTCTCCTAAGCCTCGGTTTCCCTGTCTGTAAGATGGGGATAATAGTAGCTCCTACTTCAGGGGCTGCTGTGGGGGTTATCTGTGTTGAGAGCTTAGCCCAGTGCTTGACGCACACAAATTATGCGTGTCCCTGTGTCTGTGCAAGAGTGACTCTGGCTAGCTCAAGCTGGTCAGACGACCTGGCTGCCCGCGATTTGTCTTTAATTAGTAAAATGTTATAGCACACAGTAATCACTTTACAAGAGGTGGTGGGCTACAGTGGAGAAAACACGGGATGTAAAGCCTGGCAGACTACCTCTGAATACCAGCCTGCCACTCCCTAGCTGTGTGACCTGGCCTGTTCAGTGCACCTTGCAGAGCCTCGCTCTCCCCTTCCAGGGAGGACTTGCCCAGCTGCGGGGAGTGCGATCAGAAAGCAGCTTCCAGCTGTCGCCTCCCGCAGGGTTGGCTTCAGCTGGAGAGAAACCCCCTGCCGAGCGCATGCCCTGCCCAGGACAGTCTGCATCGAGTGGCTAAGTGAGGCGAGGGTGTAGGGTCCAGCGGTTTCTGCTGGTGCAGGATGCTCTGATGCTCAGACAGGACCAGAGCTCCCCTGACGAGCCAAGGCTTCGTCAAGCTTTCCACACGCTTCAACTTCGCCCTCTGCCAACCCTGCTTTCTCTTTCTTCCCTTCACAGCTGTTGATCCCTCTTAACATCTTGCACCCCACACTCCACCTGGTGTCTACTCTTGGAGACCCCGACCTCCAGGAGTTGGTGCCAGGACTGGTCTGAGACGGCGGGTGAGAGGATGGGCTTTTGGAGCTTCAGTGCTCACGGCCTGGATGGGAATGGTTCCCATCACCGGTGGCTGACTGAGCAGAGACAGCCCACGTGTCAAAACTTCCATGAGCAGGGAATTGGGAGGGTGGACCTGTGGAATGGAATGCACGGGCAGGTGTGGGACCCTGGGTACTTGACAGGGATGGAGAAAACAGTAGCCACGAGGCTCACTGGGATTGATGGCGATGGCTAAGCACCACTGATGCTCTGTACCAAGGGTCCACAGGCTTTTTCCTCTGAGGGCCGGATAGCAAATATTTTAGACTTTGCAGCCCGTACAGTCTGTTACAACAACTCAGCTCTGCTGTTGTAGCGCAAAGCAGCCACAGATGATACGTAAACAAATAAAACTTTACAAAACCAGCCTGTGGGCCAGACTTGACTCATGGGCTGTGGTTTGCTGATCCTTGCTCTATACTAAAGAAGAACAATGAACACCTAAAGATGACTAACAGATAAGTGAAAGCCAGAGGCCCTCTTTGGTTGCTTCCAAAGAAAGAAGCTTTCATTTTTTCTAGCAGTAGAGAGAAAAGCTGAGGACCAAGGCTAGGGCCCCAGGATGTGACAGAGTTGACTTAAAGACGGTTAAATGACCAACCAAGGCGGGTCTGTTATGCTGGATCATCACCCTACAGCCTGTGGTTTTCTGGGGAAAAAAGTCCTGATTTATATCACACTGTCTGTCCAGGCTGCTCCTCTCATAGCAGGCTCCTCCTCACCCTCTGGCTCTCAGCTAAATATCCCTTCCTCCAAGGAGCCCTCCCCAACTGACCACCCCAGCCAGATTCTCTTTCCAGCACTCTGTTGGTTTCCATCACGGCACTCTCCACACAGTAAGTCAACCTTATTTTTTGAAGTGTGACATACGTAAGAAGAGTGTACAAGTCATAATTGTGCAGCTGGGTGAATTTCACAGGGTGAACCCTTCATGACCAGCACGCAGATCAACTAATGGAACAGAGCCAGCACCAGAAGCCCCTTCATGCCCCCTCTCGGTCACCACTGCTCCTAAGAGGACGACTACCCTGACTTCCAACCCACGTACGTGGCTTGCTCCTCCCTGCTTGTGCACTTTACAGAAATGGGTCCTAGTGTGTGTACTCTTTGACGTCTGGCTGGCTTTTACTCATCATTGTCAGGTGAGCTTCATCCATGTGGTTATAGCTTGTTTGTTCCCATGTGTGAATATCCTGCAATGGATTAATTCTATAGTTGCTGGACATTTTTCATTGTTTCCACTTTGGGCTATGAGGAATAGTGCTGCTGTGCACATTTTTGTGTATGTCTTGAGCATATGCACACATTCCTGCTGTGTCTATTCCTGAGTAGAAACGCTGGGTTGTAGGGTATGTGTATGTTCGGTTTAGCAGATCCTGCCAAGGGGTTTTCAAAATGCTTACACAATTAACACTCGTACCAGCAACGTATGAGAGTTCCATTTGCTCCACATTCTTGCCAACACTTAGTATTTTCTGCCTTTTTAATTTTAGCCATTCTGGCCGTGTGTAATGGTACTGTATTGGGTTTGTAATTTATGTTCTTAGCTTTCTTTGGTGAGTGATGATGTTTAGTACTTTTCATACGTCTATTGACCACTTAATGGCCTCCTCTGTGAAGTGCCTGTTCAGGTTGTTTGCCCGTTTTTCTGGGTTGTTGGCCTATTTGATTGACTTGTAGGAGTGGATCTACAAGAGTGTGGATCTCTTCTGGACCCTTGATTTTGTTCCGTGGGTCTATTTGTCTGACCTTGTGCCAATACCACACTGTCTTAATTACCACAGTGTTTACTACCTCTTGAAATCTGGTAACGTAAATCCTCCAATTTTGTCTGATTGTCTGTTGAGGTGATCACAGGCTTGTTGTTTTCCTCTGTTCCAGTCTGTGAGCAGGGGAACTGCACTGACGTTAAATCTAAAGCCAACCTTGATTCCTGGGGTAAACCCCCCTTGGTCGTGATCCTTTCACATGTTGTGGTTATGATTTACTAAGTTTTGATCGTTTGCATCTATGTTCATGAAAGATACTGGTCCGTAGTTTTGTTTTGCTGTTTCTTGTAGTATCTTTGTCTGGTTTTGCCATCAGGTTAATGCTGGCCCATAGGATTTGTTGGGAGGTGATCTCTCTTGAATTTTCCAGTAGAGTTTGCGTAGAATTGATATTATATTCCTTAAATTTTGCATAGAATTCACCAATGAAGCTATCTGGGCCTAGAGTTTTCTTTGTGGGAAGAATTTTAACTACAAAACAAGTTCTTTACTAGATATAGGGCTATTTAGGATATATATTTATTCTTGAGTGAGCTTTGGTAATTTATGTCTTTCAAGGAATTTGTCCATTTAATTTAAATTGTTGAATTTATCGGTATAGATTTATACATAATATTCTCTATTAACCATTACTGTCTGTAGGATCTATAGTCATGTCCCATCTCTCATTCCTGATATTGGTAATTTGTGTCATCTCTTTTGTTTTTCCTGATTAGTCTGGCTAGTAGTTTATCAATTTTAATGATTTTCTGCAATAACCAGCTTTTGATTTTCTTTATTTTTCTGTTTCTATTTCATTGATTTTTAAAAATTTTTTCCTCTATTTTTTTTCTGCTTATTTTAGGTTTAAGTTGCTGTTTTTATTCTAGTTTCTTAGTTAGAATAAATTTGATTAGAATAATAAGTTAGAAACCTAGGTGATTGATTTGAAACTCTTCTTCTTTTCTAATATAAGCATGTATTACTATAAATTTTCCTCTAAACACGGTTTTAGCTGCCCACAAATTTTGATATATTGTGTTTTTATTTTCATTAGGTTCAAAATATTTTGTAATTTCTTCTTTGATCTATAAATTAACAAGGAGTGTGTTGTTTAGTTTCCTATAATTAGAAATTTCCCAGATCTTTTTGTTACTGATTCTTAATTTAATTCCATTGTACTTCAGGAACAAAATTTATATTGTTTAAGTGCTTTTAAATTTATTGATTTCTATGTTGATCCTGTATCTAGTGACCTTGACAACTTCGCTTATTAATTCTAATTGTTTGCTTGGCCCCTAAGGTTGTAAGCAGGATACTGGGCATCTTTATCTTTTCCCAGCCACAGGAGGAAAGAGTGTAATACTTCATCAGTAACTGTGATGTTGGCTGTGCATATCTTGTGCATACTCATTACCTATTTAAAGAAGTTCCTCTATATTCCTAATACTGAGAGATTTTTATCATGAATAGGTGTTGATTTCATCAAATTTTTTTTATAAATCTTTTGAGATATGATTTTTCTGTTAATGTGCTAAAATGTATTGATTGATATTTGAATTTTAAACCATGCTGGCAGTTTTCAAAGAAACTTCACTCAGTCATGATATATTATCCTTTTTTAAGATACGTCACTGTATTCAATTTGCTAATATTTTGTATAGAATTTTCACATCTCTGTTCATGAACAATATTGGCCTATAATGTTCTTTTCTTATAATATCCTTGTTTGGTTTGGATACCAGGGTTATGTTGGTCTCAAAATAAAGTGTTGGGAGACGTTTCCTCTTTATTTGGTGGACAAGATGATGTAAAATTGCTATTTTTTAATGTGTAGAAAGAGTTGTCTTTTTTTTAAAGAATATAGGACTATTCAACCTTACTGTTTCTTCTTGTTTTCATTTTGGCAAGTTTTGTTTTTGGAGGAATGATGGGATAAGAATTTCCCTTTCAGCACAGCAGCATGAACATCAGCTCCATGGAAAGTCTTCTGGAGCAGAGCATGTTTGTTTTGGCTTGTCAGCACCCCCACTGCGGCCAACAGCAAGGCCGGGAAAGTCACCCCACCACTTCTGGAGAAAAAACTACGCAGTACATGACAACACTTTGCACATTGTTTAGTGCATGTTGAAAGACCGTTGCTGGTTTTTAGCGAGATGGGAACATATTTTAGAATGCCTGAGGCACACTTTTGCTGAGCCTATCTGCTCAGCTATCTGCCTATCTGCTGTGCCAAGATGGGGTGAAAATACAGCTTGCACGGGGCCTCCCAGCGTCCAAGGGAAGCTCTTGTACATGTCTGCATCCCAGGTCCAGAGCAGGCAGGAGCTGAGCTCCTTCTGGCTGCTGAAGATACCTCGCTGGAAATCACTTCCTTTAGTCAGCATCTTCCGGGGAGCTGGGCCCAGAAACAGCAGCGCATGAGTCAGAAACTGGAAGAATTCTCCAGAATCTGTGTGCGGGTCTAGAGGCAGCAGCAAGGTCAAAGTCAGAAAGCAAGTGCAGGCCAGGCGGGGCCACAAGCCCCTGAGCTGAAGTCTCCTCCTAACTGAGGGCACTCGGGTCCCTGACCGGCCGCCTGCCTGTCCCTCCCGTCTCAGGGAGCAGGGCTGCCCCGGCGCCCAGGTCACCAAGCGAGCCGCCGGCTCTGGCTGCAGTGGGGTGGATGTTAGGACACTGATTTGCCCACTTGTGTGTCTTGGGTCACCGCTGCGGTGCCAGTCCTTTCGGTGCCTTCTACCCTGGGGGACACGAGCCTTCCCTCCCTGCCTTTCCCGTCTCATCCCCGCTTCTTCCTAGCTTCATGTTTCCTTCCCTCTCATCCTTCCTCTCTCTCTCGCCTCCTCTCTCCTTTCCTCCTTTCCTCTCCTCCCTCCACCTTCCCCTCATGTCGTGGCCGCCCTTCTTCCCGTCCACCTTTAGGACACGTTTCTCCCTCTCCTCCCTCCCTGCCACTGTTCTTGTCAGACAGTAAGAACCATGAAGGTGGTTGCCAGGATACTAGACTAAAACAGCGATAGAAATGCCATCTAGAGTTGTTTGAGCAGAAATGAGAATGGAACAAAAATTCAGGTCAATGCATGTCAAGCCGTAGATCTTTCAGGTCCAGCCAGCCTTCCTGGTCTGAGAAGGAAGGACCAATGGCTCCCTGGCCCTTTAAGGGGACTTAATGCTAATGAGCGTGGTTCTCCTCTTGGGACAAGGAAGGGGCATGTAGCTGTGCTGGTGCTCTGCACCAAGAAATTGGGAAAGAAGAAAGAAATCGGGAGAGTCATTACCCAGAATTAGAAAAAAAAGGGCAAATGTCCTTCCAGAGCCAGAGGTTCTACTTAAAATGGAAGTCCCAGACACGTGATCAGGCTATCACAGGATGAGTAATTTGAACCTGTGGAGCATCTGGTACTCATGTCCCCACGTCAGGGGCACCATGAGACAAACAGTAGATGAGAAATCATAAAACCAAACTCATTGCCCTCGCCAGGGGGCAGTGACGCAGGCCTGCAATTATGGAGATGGCCACTAGGGGAGGTAGTGATTAGTGCAGATTTGGGGCAATGGACACAGTGTGTGTAACAGATCTCAGAGCATGTGCGAGCGTGTGCGCGCACGCACACGCACACACACACACAGATCTAGCTCTTTATCAAAACAATAGCAAGTATTATTGAACTACTATAAAATATAAGATCTTGATATCAGATTTAGAATAAGATAGGGAAGATGCAAATATCTAGATCCAAGCCGCACCTTTTCTCGTATTAAACCTCAGTTGGTTTCTAACGTGGCATATGCTGAGGCTGGTCCCTGGTGTGACATCGGGAAGACACAGTGGCTTTCTGGGGCTCTGGGGTCCCCATCTCAACTTCTTGCTTTTCTTTATGGGGACTTCAAATTGATTATCTTAAAAGCCTTTACCTATTCATTTGCTCTTATCAGATAAAATGAGGTCATTGCCCTTTTCAAACTGTTTCAGCTGGAGAACGTCCTGTGCTGACTACCTCTCCAGCTTCGTTTCTTCCCCATTCAAACACAAGGCCTTTCTTTCACCCGAGCGCAAAGTCACAACCCAAGAAAGTTTTCTTAAAACCGGGAATTATATACCCGATTTCCTCATGCCACAGTCATGACTCTTTCCCTTTTTAATCAGGAGAGAAATCCCAAGCGTCTAAACCCTCACCTTCTCCCTCCTCCCGCTCTTCAAGTTCAGGCTCGCTGGGACGGAGCGCAGAAACAAATTACTTGTTAAAACTCTATCAGCAGGCCCCCACCCCGCAGGCCTAACATTTTGCATTTTTCTTCCTCTGAATATTTAAAAACCCATTTTAAAAACGTTTGAATAAATGAGTTTTTAACCAAAGTTTGAACAATGAGTCTTCTTACATGATCACAGATTCTTGGGAACAGAATTGATCGGAAGCCAATGGGCAGTGCACAGCGGCTCCTCTTCTGAGCCAGCTCATTTATTTGCATGGGACAGTGAATGCTCTAATCACAACATATTTGGTTTCCTTTGTAGTACTGGAATTCCTTAAGTGTCCTTGGACACCTTCCAACCCCCCAAATATTAGTCATGCCACTTGATGCTCAAACAAATCCCAAAGTCGACACTCGCAAACACATCTTTTCCTACTTGCATGGAAATGAGATTTTAAAAACATCAAAACGAAAACAAGTTTCATAGCCCGTGTCCACAAAATGCCTCTCCATCGGTAACTGGACTGTAAACTTTGCTTCCAAATAGTGGCTCTCAGTTCCATTAGTTTATGGTGCTTGAGGAGCTGGGAGGGAATTGCAAGCTGGCGCCCTTCACTGTCGCTCGGGGAGCTTTTCCCTCGGTGCCAGCTTCACTGTCTCTGGCTTTGCTTAGTCTGAATTGAAGCACCTTCGGGTTTTTACCTTGGTACTTTTGTTATACAGTAAAAAAAGTAGACCAGCTTTTGATCTCAAGTCCATAACATATCACATTGATTTTTAAAAATCAGAAGGTAAAAAATGCCCTAACCATCTTTGGCAAGGGATAGAAAATTTCATTGCCTCCAGGGTGGGCGTTAGGAATGATCGCATCTCACGATTCTATCCTATCATTTCTTATTAACTATTTAACATTTTATTGAGCACCTCGTATGGACCAGATGCTGGGATGTAGAGATAAAAATGATAGTGCGTACGCTGGTGGGGAGAGACATGTTAAGAGATTTGAGTAGAAAGCAATGCATGATATAATAAAAGCAGAAAATCAGCTAGGTTTGTGGGAAAGTGGATAACTTTCTGGAGAAGTGAGGGAAGCCTTCCCAGAAGAGGTGGCATTTGAAAAGTGCCCTGGATAAGAAGCAGTGTCCTAGCTGGACGTGGAGCATATGGCACGTGGAAAGGGAGTTTGGGTCAGATTTATGAAGGTCTCCAAATGCCTGGCCAGGAAGTCTGGCCTCCCTCCTCCTCACGTGCATTTGGAAACATTTATTGATTTATTGGTTTATTCAACTATCTGAGCAGCTGGTCCCTGGCGCCAATGGTGCCAGTGGTGTGCTGGGATCTTCCACTGGCTCCTTCGGGTCCACTGGGAACCTTCCTCTGTGCTGCTCTGTGCCCCAGGAGGCTGACCCATACGGCTTGGGTCAGCAGGCACCTGTGCCCTCTGGGTGCTGGGTAGAGGTGGCAAATTAGAGGCACTAGCAAGAGAGCAGAGGGCGAAGAGAGAGAGACCAGGGTATCTGTCTCCCCAGTTCCCTCCCTGGGGGAGTAGCAGGGCCCGAAGCTCCCAGGCCACAGCTGCCGTCAGTCCGCCCTCTCAGATAGCTCTCAGGGTCAGAGAAACCGCTCCCTCTTCTTGACCCTCAGGCCTCAGCTGCGGTGGCTGCCTGCTGTTAACTCGTCCTGGGCTCTGCACCATCCTTGTCACTCTGCTTAAACTCCACCCACACCTTTGCAAGTAGTCCCGGGCTGTCCTCAACTCCCCAGCTTGGTGTGTATGCCATCTGTCTCCTCCCAGGACCATGTCTCATAAAAATGGCAAAAGAGGTCCCAACTTCCATGGAGCTTGTCACGTAGTCCTCTTGAATTTGCATCAACAGGGGAGTGACTGAATTGGATATTTACGTGTTGGAAAAATCACCCAGATGGCAGTGAGGAGAAAGATGTCAATGGAGGGGAAGGGCCATGAGGGAAGGGGCTGTTGCTGTCGTCTGGGCAACGGATGCAGGTGCCCACACCAGGGAGGATGGGGGAGGGGATGAAAGAGCCATCTGGAGAAGCACGTGGGTTGGCAGGACCTGGTGAGTGAGAAGGAATAGTCAAGGCTGGTGCACACGTCCTGGCTGGGGTAACTGGGCAGATGTTTCGGCTCTGAGCTGGGGGACCCAGGAGAAAGAGTCGATTGGCACGGGGTGAAAACGAGGACTTGGGTGTTGAGCATGTGAAGTGTGTATCGCCGGTGGGACACCAGGTGGAGGTGTCCAGCCAGCTCTTGGAGATGCGGGTTTGAGTTTGTGGGAGAGGTCAGAGTGGGAAACATGGATCTGGGCATCCTTGGAGTCTAGGTGGGCGTGAAGTCGAGGAAGTGGTAAGACAGCCGAGAGAGAAGGTGTTGGGGAGCACCACAGAGAGCCCGAGAGAGAGCCCGTGGAGCTGAGACGTAAGGCGCAGCCCAGCACTGACGCAAGGGCCTGAACCTCCCCACGCTCGGTGCAGGTCCCTCCCGTCAGCCCCGGGCCACAGCTGGGGCCTCAACCAGCCGCGTGTCTAGGGAATGCCGCGCACCTGTCCTTGGTGATGCAGGTTTGCCGAGCAGCCCAGGCTCTTCATTCTGCTGAGTGTGGAGAGGGGTCAGGAAGAGGTGGGACATGTGAGGTGAGTCTGAATTAACCCAACATGTTGAAAAAAATAAAATGCCTGGTAGGTGTTGGTAACGTGGCTGCGGTCACCCAGCTGGTACGCAGACTCGTGTCCATACCCCTTCTGACTCTGGTGCCTGCAGTGGCACCCCAGCTGGCTCACCAGCGCCTGGATCTGATTCCAGGTGGTGATGAGAGGCGACAATCATTCTGGGAAGGTAATGAGCAAGTGTGAGGGGAAGAGGCACCCAGGGGAAACAGGAGGCCAGAGGCTTTGAACACGGCCTTTTAGACATCAAGTGAAGAGACTTGCCGCTTCCAACATCGCAGTAATGGCTTTGGCAGTTTGGTCTGCAGAGTTCTCTCCTCCTCTCTGAAAATCCACGTACACACTGTGCTGACTCACCGACTGGCCTCTAAGAAGGCGTCAACACACATCCTCAGTCAGAACACACACAAAACAAAGAGCGCAGAAGAATTTAAGTTACAGTTGTACAACCCTGAGCTGAGAAAGCTCAGACGAGGGGAAGCACAGAAATACAAAAGACACACGGAAAAGAGCGGTGAGGGAGAAGGGATGGGCAGGGCAGGGCATGGCCTGGGTGAAGCAGAGCCGAAAACAGAAGGGATCCAATCCTTGCAGGGAGGAAGTTTCTAGTTCTTGCTGCATGTGCTGAAGGTGGCAGGGAGGAGGTGGCACCTGCTGGCTGGTTAATTGAGTGACGGAATCGAGAAAACGTGAAATGAACAGTTCACACTCAGAGGAGACTGGAGAACACAGGAGGCTCTGAGAAATGCCACAGTACGCCTGATGGAGCGTGGCTTTCATCAGACTTTCCGAGCTTCCCACTCTTGGCTCTGCACCCTGGATTCTTCCAGGGGGAGCCCCTTGGGGCCAGACTCATTTGTGCTCCTTGCTGCAAATATCTCCTCTGGAGATGCCCCTGTAGCAGGGTTGGCTGGCTTGGTTTTAGGAAAGGGGAGGCTATTGGAGAGCTTACTCCATCTGCTGCATTTTCAAGGTGGGGGAACTGAGGCACCAATTGGGACATGCCATCTCCAGCCTTTGCTCAGCTGCAGTCCTGGCCCTCTTGAACGTGGAGACTCAGCCCCCGCCACCTTCCTGAGTCATCCTGGCCCGCAGGGTGTGTATGTCATGGGGAAGGAGGTATTAGGAGTCCTCCTCCCACGGGCACGTGAAGCTGCACTTCCTCTAAGGCTGGGGTCGGAGAGCAGCACCCCCAGCATCAGGTGAAGGACTCCCATTCCTCACACTCACCCCTTCTCCGTGGGTTCATCTGTGAGTACAAAGGCAGCAAGTTGATTTAACTTCCTTTGGCAACTCTCATTGAGAAGGATTTGGAGACTTCCAGGGTACCGTTCTGTGATGGATTAGTTATGTCTGCCAGAGACAGAGGCTGCAGAGTGGTGGTGGCATGCAGGCCACGGACTGGCATCCCAATGAAGCCATGTCTAGTGCCTGCTGGACCTTGAGTATCACTGCAACCTGGGTTCTTCTGCCCCACCCGAAGTTGGGCCCCTGACATAGCTGCCTGCGGCAACCAACCCCAGGAGTTTATGCCCACTCTCCCCTGCTGACCATCCACCTGGGCCCTCCCTCGTGGCTGGATGAGTGTGTCCAGTCTCCACTCCTACCTGATCCCAGCCACCTGCTTGAGAGGAAAAAACAAGCAAATGCATGCGGAGTATTTGGCAGCATCCACACATAGTAGGTACTCCATGTTACCAATAATTTTATTATATCACAACTGTCTTTCTTAATAAATGATAATTGAGTGCCTACTATGCATCAAGTGTTTTCTATAGCTTCTCCCTTTTAATCCTCCTGACTGCCCTGGAAGGTAGGTCTTACTCTCATAATTCCCATTTTACAGAGAAGGAGACTGGGGCTAAAGAGGTGAGGTCATGTGGTCAAGGTCAGGTAGCTTGTAAGTGATGAGGCAGGGGTTCGACCCCAGTCAGTCTGGTCCAGGCTCCGTCTCTGTTGGATGTTTCCCCTGCAGGCTGTCTCCAGCTTGAACCCCCAGCTCCCGTCGGAGCGTGCTTTCCCTCTCGGCGCCTGTACACAGGCTGAGGATCTTCGGTGCCGCCGCTGCTGGGCGTCAGCCTGCACCTCTTGCCCTCAGAACACAGAGGCTCCTCGGGGCCTCCTTGTGCAGTTCTGGTAGGACAAAGGCATGGGCTCGTGACCAGCATCCCCTCCCACTCCCTGAAACCCTCCAAACCTCTGGCCACAGGTCCGGGACCCCAAGACTTGACCAGAGGAGGCCGCTGTTCCCATCAGCCCCCAGCCGCCTTTGCATTTCTGGCAGGGAAATTGCACTTAATTACCTTTCAGTGCATTTAATTGAGCGTTCATTCTGGCTCATGTCGTCTGTGGAACCTTCTGACGTAGGGGAGAAAAGACCTCAGAGGTGTGCTTTTGTGGGCTTTCTCCCTGAGGCCGGCTGGCCACACGGTCTGGCACCGCTCCCCTCAGAGGGTGCCGCCCTGGCCACCTGGCTGTCCAGCTCACATGGATGCCGGCCTGGCTGCCCTCTTGGGCTGCACGGTGAATTGCTGTGTGCTCTGGGCTTCCTCCCTCACTTCCCAACGAGTTGGTGGATGCAAGTGAGGCATTCTGGACATGGACTTGGACAGCGCAGAGGAGGGGAGGAAGAGGGGAATGGACACGTCCTGCAGATGTGAGCCTTGGGGCGGTGCCTGGGGCATCTCAGGCATCCTCATGCCTTTGTCTCCATCTCGGAGGATACGGTTATTTCCCTCCCTTCCACATCATGGGGTCAGACGCTGCCCTCTGCTGCCCACAGACACAGCCACAGATTCACTCCAAGTTCTAAGCCAACCCTGGCCAAGGTGGGTAATATGCCAGTGGCCCTGGCGCCAACATCCTCCCCACAGTTCTGAGCCCCAGAATAATACCCAGGGAGCAGACGCTCTTGATTCCCTGCCGGTACCCCGTCTGCATGCCGATAGATACCTACAGTGGGGATCTGGGGATAAAAACCCCTGTTGGGATGACATGTCCTACACCGTCCCCCAGGGTCCCCAGCAAGACCAGGCCCCAATTGTGCAAGGGGTCACTTGCTCGATAAGAGCCTTCCCCTCCCCTGCTGGTGTTTCCTAGGATCACCTTCCAAATAAACAATTTATACTTCAACAATTGCTTCAAGTCCGCTTCTGGAAGAAACAGACCAAGACACCCTCACACGTATTCCCAAGATCTCCTGGCTGCCTCTAGCTCAGGGACGGGCTCCCCAGAAGACACCTGCTGGTTCAGGCCTTCCTCTCTCACTACACTCCTTTCTAGCTTGTGCCCCCCCCTACCTTCAGGACTGGGGTCTGACTCCCAGAAGGTGTCTTGCCCACGGGGGCCTTAAATATTGACCACTGTCTGGGTTCCCTCCGTTCTGCTCCATCTGTCACAATGGCATCCACTTCCAGCATCGACTAAGACCCTTGAGTCTGCTCTGACCGTGTGGCTGGTGCAGCCGCAATTTCACAGTCAGGTCCTCACTCTTTCTCTCCCATCAGCTGAAGGACCTGGCTCAGCCAGGAGATATAATGCCCCAGGCAGAGGCAGGACAGCTCAGTGGAAAGACACCACACTTAGGAGGCAGGTAGACACGTGCTCAGGTCTCAGCACTGCCATTTTCAAGCTGCTCTGCCTTGAGCAAGTTCATCTCTCTGAGATTCAGCATCTTTGTTCTTAAGTGATAGGTGGCAGAGACGGCTAACTGCCCCCTGTGGTTTCCATTGTACAGAGTTGGACAGTGACTGCCCAGCCAGGGACAGCATTTCTCAGCACGCCCTGCACTTAGTGACTAGTTCTCACCGGCAGAATGAGTGGAAGGAATGTGCCTCACTTCCAGGCCAGGGTGGTGAAGAAGCGGCTGTATCTTCTCCGTCATCTCCTTCAGCTTCCTCCCAGATGCCAGGCCTCCAGAGTTCTAAGCCTGGGTTCCCTGAATCACCATGTGGAGGGGAGCTGCATTCCAACCAGAAACACCTGCACCGGAGCGTGTGAGCAAAAACATCTGTTAAACTACGGAGTCGTGGGGGTTATTTGTTACAGCAGCTGGCATTACCCTCACCGATGCACAATTGTATCTCTACATTGTCAAGACCTAGAGAGATACTGCAGATACTGCTGTAATGAGTGCTCATTCTGCCAGGCACCATTCTCTACCTGCACTGTCTTATTGAATCCTGGAAGCAGCCACGTGATCCACGTCTTGTAGCTGGGGAAACCCTAGCGCAGAGAGGTGAGATTCCATGGCCAAAGTCACACAGCGGGGAAATGCCAGATCTGACTCTAAATCTATTTCCTAACCACTAGGCTAAACTGCCTCTCGTGCATGCACAGCATCCACACAGTGCCTGCCACGAGTGAGTTCTTCCTAAATGGGTCACATCTTTGTTAATCAGGCCTAGCAAATTTGACCAGGACCTTCTGGTACCTATATGGAGCCTTCGTCTACATGAGGCAAAGCCCCGCCCCTCTGAGCAGACGAAGTGGACGCGGCACCCCCTCTGGCGGGAGGCACCGCTGCCCCTCTGTGATTCCTCAACTGGACCCCTTGCTGGTGGGCAGCCTGACATTACACCCTCCGTCCCAGACTTCTTGCGGCTAAAACGTGCCCTCACAGCCCCTCCCTGCAGCCAGCAGCCCTCGGGCACCGGCAGGCAGCTCCCGCGCCCCCTCGCAGAGGCCTCCCGAGGCCCCCGGGACCTCTCCTCAGCCCTCCGCTTCAGCCCAGCCTCCAGCAGGGCTATTTCTGGCCAGGCGGGTAATGGATTTCTGTCTCCTTTTTGAGGGCCTTTTGTGTGCCCTCAAACCCAGAGCCAAATGCTCCTCCTCCAAAAAAAAAAAAAAAAAAGCCGTGATTCCAGCCCCCGCGTGAGGAGATTGCGGAGTTGGTGGACCCTGGGGGAGAGCTGGCCCCAGGGTTTATTTACGTTAACTGCCCGCCCTCTTCCCCACCCCTCTCTCCACAAAGCTCCCTTGTGGGCCACCAGTGAAGCATCGAATGTGCGGTATACGAGGAGGCGAGGGTGCCTGCCCCGCATTTCCCGGCTCCTGAGTTATGAGGTGGGGCTGCACTTGCCTTCCTCCTCCCCGCCCGACCCTGCCTCCTCCGGGAGATACAGCCTAGAATTCTCTGTGATGGGGTCCAGGATGGGGTGCCCCGCCACACTGCTCCAAGAACCTACTGTGCCCCTTCCACCTGCGGGTCAGAGGCTCAAGGAAGCCAGTATTTCCACTTGATGTATAGGGAAACTGAGGCACGATTGGGGAGCTTAGGCCTGTAACGAGAGGCCAGTGTTTCTCACCTCACTAATGGGAATCTTCTGGGAGGTGTTGAAAAATACTGATTCAGCCGTGTCCGGGGCCCGTGGTCATACGCTTCAGAGAGCTGCGCAGGGATGCTGCTGAAACATACAGAAGCCCCAGCCCGCCCTGAGCGTGGACCCCGTCTTGAGTCTTCCGGGACGGGGCCTGGGTGTTTTGCTTTCGATGAGGTCTGAGAAACTCCCAAATATGACAGCCAAAAGCAGCTGTGACGTCCGTAGCGTCCAGATTTCTCGTTTTCCGGAGGAGAAGATTGAGGCTCCGAGGGAGGTGGGGTCTGGGCCAGGGTAGCACAGCGGAGTGGTTGGGGCTCCCTCTGAGGCCGGGGGGGCGTGGGGCGCGGGTGCCTGGAGAGGTGAGAGCAAGCAGAGGAAGTGCTGCAGCGCTTCGGGTGTGGACGGACTGGAATCCTTGGACTCGGGGAAGCTGGACCTGACGCCTGAGCCCAGGCGTTCTGTCCCCCACCACTTAGTCTAAGAAAACCCTTCCCCACCTTCTCCAGGTGGGGCAGTGTCCTGCTCTCCAGGTTTGTCAGGATTTGGCATCCACAGAGTTGCTTTGAAGGCTGTGTCAGGCCCCTGGACAGGGGGTCTGGGCTGTTCTAGAGATAAAAGCCAGAGCCGCCCTCAGGCTGCGCGGACGTGGCCCCGGTCTGCCTTTCCCCAGGACCCACCCCGACAGCCCAGGGGCCCTGGGGCCCCCAGTCCCCGGGCCTGCGTGCAGACTGCTTTGACGGCGGCCGCACGTGTGTGTGTATTCGACAGAAATGGATGGATGGGAGGGAAACAAGTTACCATTAAGGAAAGATGGTGCTTCATTTAGAACTTCCTCTCCCTTCGAGTTTCAGAACTTTTGGTCCACTGTGAACGGCAGCTGTGACCTGACAGAGGAATGCTGGACTTGGAGCCAGACATCCAAGGGCTCGCATCGCGGTTCCGGCACGTGGCCGTGTGGCCTTGTCAATGCCGCCCACCTTTTCTCCAAGCCTTGACTTCCCTCATCCGCAAAATGTGGGCTATCGTCTCTCGCTCACAGCTTGTTGGGTGCGTGACCTGAGATGCTACAGGTGCTAGCGTTCCTAGCATGCTTTAGGTGCTGGGCAACTACTTGTTAAATATGAGCCTTAAAGGGGACACAATTTGCAGTGAGCCCTCTCACCTGTCCATGCAGAGATTCCGCACAGCAGCACATTCTTTTTTGAGATGCCTGTGTTAGCAGACATGGCCGTTCTTTCAGTGTTTCCAAAAGGGGCGGGAATATAGTCGGGGAAACATTTTTCAGGAAAGATGTTTCTCTCTATACTTTTTCTGCCCTCAGACATTTGTGAAAATGAAGGGAATGAACACAAAAATACCTTCTTTAAGGTTTTTCCCTTAATTTTTACTAAAGCACAACAGACATGCAGAAAAATGCACAAATTGTACCTGGTTAGCTCCATGGGTTTCACTGGCTGACAAAATCCATGAAACTGGACCCAGATCAGGAAGCTTCTAGCACCAGCACCCCAGGAGCCCCCTTGATGTCCTTCCCAGTCACTTCCCACCCTCAGCTTGCAGAGGCACTATCCTGAGTCCTCCTGGGAGCTTTGGAACTCTGTAGGAGCAGAGTCCTACTGTGTGTCGTGTTTGTGTCTGCTTTCTTTCCTTGAACGTTACATTGGTGAGATCCATCTATACACGTATGTTAGTCTCAGGTGCTCCCCCTCCTTGCAAATGCCTGCCTTGTCTGTCTTGCATTCTAGCCATTCTGGGGGGTGTGTAGAGGTATTTCACCGTGGTGTTAATTTGCCCTTCCCTGGTCAGTAATGAGGTTGAGCCTTCTTTCATATCCCTGTTGGCCATTTGGATGTTTCTCTGCGTAAAGTGCCTGCTCAAGTCTTCTGCCCAGCTGTCTAGTGGGCTAGCTGTCATCTTCTTGGTTTGTAGGAGCTCTTTGTATGTTCTGGATGCTCTTTAGTTTTTAGGGCCTTTTAGAGGACTTCCCCCCTCTCGCCCAGACATTTCACGCTGAGTACTTTGGTTGCTCTGGTTTGGATGGAAACTCTTTGAGTACGAGCATTGCAGAGACCTGCTCCTCCCTGGCTCTCAGTAACAGCTCAGTGCTGCTGTGTCCCCTTCCGAGTGCAGGGCGGCTCCTCTGCACAGAGAGAAGCTAGAGAGCTTTGTTCTGGCCCCTCCCACCTCCACCGCCCTCTGTGCCTGTTTCAGTTTTTGGTAACCCACCCCCTAGGTTCTGTTCCCATGAGCCTTGCTCTCAGCTTCCAAGGTTTCTATTGATCAGGAGGCTTCATTCCCTTTGGTTTCTGGATGGAGGGGAGGGTTGGCTGTGGGGAGTTGGACCTTACAAAGTGGCTAGGGCCCTCCCACCGCCTGTCTCTGTGCCTGAGATTCCACCATTAATGCTTTAATCTCAAGTGACAGCAGCTACAACACGAGGGAACTTTTTCCGTATTTTAACAACAGGTTTAGGTGTCCCAGTACGCACCAGCTGAATACCAGCAATGCTTGTGGCTGAGCCCTGACAGGGTCTGTGGTGCCAGGCTTATTCTTATCTTAGCCTCACCCTTGCCTTGTTCCAGAAGGAACAGCTTCCATCCCATAACATGGCCCTTTAGA